ATAGCTTAGTGTTTTGGGCAGGTCTCCTTCAGGAGGCTAAACCTGAGACACAGTGGAGAGAACCAACTTCTGGGTGACACCAGAAGGAGCTATCTCCAAAAGCAGCACACTTATGGGATCAAAATACATTTAGTGTGAGGAAGGTTCTCAACCTTTTCTCTTAGTTTTAGTTATCATTTAGGTGCATAAGAGCTAAGTTGTAGACTTTAAAGACTTTACTTAAAGTGCTACATAATCTTATTCAGGCTTTTAACCCTTGTACAACTCGGATAGCCAGTGGTCACTTGGCCATATAGTAAATGCTCTTAGAGCAGCAGCTGCTCTTTGAAGCACAGGACAGGGTTCCCCAGCCATTCCTTGGTGAATCCCCATTGAAGCCTATGGCTGATGGAATGTTGACCAGAGAGATAGCTGGATTCCTTTCTGGAGACTGATCTCTGGTTTTGTGGGCCAATTCAAGCTAAGAACATGTGAGGGGTCACGGCCAGCGCTACTGTCTGGTAGATACCCAAAGGTGCTTGGTGGAAAGTGGCTCTTTATCCCTGAAAGATTTCCACTTCCCTATTGTACTTGTTTCTCTCTTTGCTACTAAACTAGAAGTTTTCCTGAAGCTTTTCTGCAGAATCACTTAATTAGCCACTACTTCAGAAATTAGGCTGAGGCACCTTGCAATAGTTTACATTTTATAGCAGTTATCAGGGGAATGATTTACATCTGTGCCTTGTACATTGAGAGTAAAAAAGAGATTTTTGTCAGCCATAAGTAAGGATAAGTAGAAGTAAATATAAGTAAATCTGTGAGTCCCAAAGATTTAACATGTCCTCACCCTGTTGCTGGGAAGTTAACTTGGCGACTAGATGAAGGAACACATGTGTCTTGGAGATTCCTTTGCCCTAGAGCCCAGGGCAAAGCTCTTCCAGTCAACTGTCTATTTTGTCTATCTCCAAAGGCGATCTCACACAGCAAGAGAGGTGCTCTGCTTTCAACACACTTTTTGATGCAATAGTTATGTTTCCTTTTGTAGACATTTCTGTCCCTAGACCAATTGTAACATATACTTACAAATATTCAACAAGAGTAAGAGCATGGTTTGTCAGACATTTTGGTGGATAAAATCGCATGCCAGTTGGAAGGTGGATAAACTGGTTAGATCTTGTCTCCCCTCTCTCCAACTGAGCAGCCACCTGCTCTGGACTGGTCTACTCAGGGGATGCCTTGAGGCAGAATCAATTGGAAACAAGGTGGGGACACCCTAAACATTTTATTGTTTTCCAGATATATACATCTCACAGTCTGTCACTCCTTTAGAGTGCATCATTAGGCACCAGAAGTTCTTAGATCCATACATGCTGAAAAAAGCTGTTTAATATTTTTCTGCATGTGTACGTGGCCTGTGTACCTCCTAGAGCCAAAATGCAATGCAGAGGAAAGTATCAATTATGACACTATTTCATAACTAGAAAGATATTGTAAAAAAAAAGTCTCATGTTCAGATTTTGTTTGCATTAAGAGGGTCCTTGGTATTTAGTTTTGAAATGTAGACACGCGCCACAAGAAAACAAGTGAGCTCAGGTGCCTAAGGCATTCACCATCCCAGAGCCTAGGGCTGCTCATCCACTAAACTTTGGAGCCTAAGGACAGGACAGCCTTAATTATAGCCTCACCCATGATCACTGAAAGTAAGATTTTCCATATTTGCCTTTCAAAAGTTGGGCTTCTGCAACAGCTGCAATCCAGTCTTCTACAAGGCTACACCTGTCCTTAGCTGGGTTCATGCAAGATCTTTGTAGATAATATCCTTTAAAGAAGTAAATAGAGAATTTAGACCTTCCAAAGTCCATCTATCTTTTTCTCTCAGTGACCTAAAACAGATAAAATCAGAGCTTGGGAAATCTTTAGATGACCCTGACCAGTGCACTGATGTCTTTAGAGAATTTAGTCAGGCTTACAAACTGGATTGGAAAGATGCAATGATCACTTTAACCCAAGCTTTGCTCTCTAATGAGAGTCAGGCAGCATTACAAGCTGCCATTGCATTTGGAGATTGATATTGTTAATTTTAAACAACTAGAAGATACACAGCCAGTGGAACTACCTGTTCTCACTGCAGCCCAAGCAGTTCCTACCAAAGAGCCCTGTTGGCCTAATAGGCAGGAGATTGGAATAAAATACATTTGCTAGTATATATTCTTTTTTTTTTAAGAGATTGTAGAGGATTTTATTTATTTATTTATTTATTTATTTATTTATTGTGTGTGTGTGTGTGTGTGTGTGTGTGTGTGGCCAGCTCAGCCCACCAGGGGGTGGGACTGGCTGGCATGTGGTGCTGGGGGATTGAACCGCCATCTCTGTGCTTTGCTTAGCTTAGCTTGTTCTAAGTAGGTGCTTTAGACCACTGAGCCATCTCACCAGCCCTAGTATATATTCTTGAAAGTCTAAAAAGAACTAAAACTAAGCCTTCTAGCTCTTTTAAATTTTCAGCTATGTAATAGGAAAAAGGTGAAAACCCCTGTGCATTCTTAGAATGTTTACTAGAGGGACAGATTACTCTTACAGATAAGTTCCTTTCTCAGTCAGCTCCAGATATTCGAAAAGAACTGCAAGAGACAGCTTTTGCTCCAGACAACTCACTTGAAACTTTAGTAAAAACTGCTTGCTTGGTGTCCTACAATCAGGACTGGGAGAAAACCAGGGAGAGAAAACAAAGAGATCAAAAATGGCTACCTTTGTTGCAGCCTCAAAACAGACCCTAAATCTGATACTCAGAGCTCCAAGAAGAGCTCAATGACAGCAAGGTTCACTGGCTTCTGCTGTCAAAAGCCAAGCCAGCATAAGAGGGACTACTTTAAGAAGGCCACAAGCCGTGTCTAACTGCCAAGGCAGCCACTGGAAATGAGACTGCACTCTGATGTGGAGGCTCCAGAGTTCAGACTCAGTTTCCCAGGTGGTCCATTAGAATTAAAGGGCCCTGGGCCTGCCTCCTCCCTCTGACTGGACTGTTATCTCTGCCTATCATCTCTATGGAGGAGCCCTGGGTGATCATGACTATAAGGGAAAAGAAACCCAGCCTATTGCTGGACATTGGCACAGGTCTCTTTGTCCTTCTCCAACCCTGACCTTCCTTCCAGTCATCTTACCTCAGTAGAAACAGACTTTAGAAGATACCTTGCTTAAGCTGTACCTGAGATAACTTTCTCTTCATTCATTCCTTTTAGTCATGCTGAAAAGCCGAGCTCTCATCCCAGAGAGATTTTAGCCTGTCTAAATACAAAGACTAGTGTTTACAAATGTAATATATCTTGTTATTCATGTACAAAGGCTTAAAGAGTATTTCATTGGTCAAAACAGGTTCCCAAAGACAGACAGAATTCTGGTAAGAAAAAGTTCTAAGGACACTGGCTACACAGTGTCCAATAGCTTTGGTCCTATAGATAGAGCCAGGCCTTATATTTGTGACATAAAACTCAGAGCCACAGTGTTAAAAGGAGAAATTCCTCAGCAGTGCCCCTGGCTTACAAAGGGGGCCAAATGTAAGACACTGAATGGGACACTGGTTTAATCCAACTGAATGGTATAGATTTCATAAGAAGTGTATAAGGCCGTCTGGTTGATTTCTGATGTAACTCAGGTATTTCATACTGATAGTTAATACAGGTGTGGCCTCTCTTAACTAAAGCTAGAGGGACTTATAGCAAACTGTCAGACTCCATGAAGAAAGGGATCCAAAAGCCAGTAT